TGTGTGTGTGTGTGTGTGTGTCTGTGTGTAGCTGTCTGTTTGTTAAAGTAAAGAACCTCAGCAGGTTTGTTTTTTTCTTTAAAAAAAAAATGCACCATTTTAAGAGAATGAATACATCAGTAACACTAAAGAGTAAAAGAAAACCAACTTAAAATCCCTGGTGAAGTAAAGAAGGGAGGACTCAGGGGAAACATGATAGCAGTCTTCAAGTATCTGAAGTTGGTCCCGGAGGGCAGAACTAATGAGGAACAATGGGGATAGAGTGCACAGAGGCAGATTTTGGCACAATGTAAGAAAAAGTAGAGTGAAGTGCCAGTCTTGAGAAAGTGAGCTTCCCCTCACTGGAGATACTCAAACAGAGCCTAGGTGACCATTTGTAGAAAAGCTTCTTGTTCAAGTACGGATTGGACAAGATCAAGGGTCTTTAATCTGGGGTCTGTGAATCTAGTTGTTTAATATGTTGATAATTGTATTTCTATATTTCTAACTGTAAAGGCAGTTAGGTGGTACAGTAGACAGAGCACCAGGCCCGGAGTCAGGAAGACCAGAGTTCAAATTTGGCCTCACACACTTACTTGTTGTGTGACCCCTGGGTAAGTCATTTAACCCTGTTTGCCTCAGTTTCCTCATTTGTAAAAATGAGCTGGAGAAGGAAATGGCAAACCTCTCCAGTATCTTTGACAAGAAAACCCCAAATAGGGTCACAAAGAGTCAGACACAACTGAAAAAACAACTAAACAATAACAACCGTTTTTCACTAAAACTGACTGCCTTTGTAATCCCTTCTGTTTTATTTTATGCATTTGAAAACATTATTCTGAGAAAGGGTCCCCAGATGTCACCAGATTGCCAGAGGAGTTCATGACACAAAAATGGCTAAGAACTCCTACAATGGACTAAAAGATCTTCGAAGCCCTTCCAGTTCTGAGATTTTCTATTCAGAACGGCTTAAAGCTAGGGACAGAGGGAAGGGAAGAAGGGGGATGGAAATAAGCCATTAAATAGCACAGTGCCTAAATGCTTTACCAATATTATCTCATTTGATCCTCACAATAACCCTGGGAGGTAGGTGCTATTATTATCCCCATTTTATAGTCGAGGAAACAGAGGCTGAGAGAAGTGAAATGATTTGCCCAGGGTCATACAGTTAGTAAGTGTCTGTGGCTAGATTTGAACTCAGGCCTTCCTGACTCCAGGTCTAGTGCTGTATCTACTATGCCACCTAGTTGCCTCTTGCCCAGTTAAATTTACCTCAACTTCTCCCAAATACACTTAAAAGGGCAGTGAGCTCCCTGTTTTTCACATCATTCACAAGGAATTCTGACTTCTGTTATGCCAAATTTGAGCAACACAAGTTTCCTGTGTACCTACTGTGTCAAACGGGCATGGAAGTCATTAAAATGCACAGCAGTGAACTTGAGTATCAGGGGACAGTGGCCGGAATCCAGGCACAGACAAATACCAATACCACCTGGTGGATCAAGAGCAAGGCATTTCAACTCTCTCAGCCTCAGCATCCTTGTCTCTAAAATGGGGATAATAAGAATTGTGTGACCCTCCTCTAAGGTCTCTTGTGAGCAGAAGAGCTCTGTGTAACCTCAAAGCAAAACGGTAATGAGAATGACTATATCATTCAAAAAAATCTCCATGGAAAGAGCTGCATATCTCTCCAGCAAAGGTGGTTTGAGGTTTAGAAATGATCCTTCCCTTCCTGGGAATAGACAGTGTTTGCTGTTATTAGCCCCTGTGTAAAGTACTTGTGGCTAGAAGTGTCAGATCAGGCTTTGGAATATCACTGTTCTGTGGGAAATGGAACTGGGATCCTGGATGCTGAGTCAGGGTAGTTGTTGAAGGCTGGATGGATCCAATGAATATTCATTCTTAGTCCTCCAAGTAGGCAGACAGCTATGATTGGCATGAAGCACCCGCCTTGGGTCTAATGCCAGGGCTCAGTGTGTGTTATAGTTATATGTGTGACTTAGGTACTGCCGACAAGACTATGAGCTTCATCAGCACACCATACTTCAGAATCTTTTTTTCTGGGTGACATGGGAACCACATTTTTGAAAGATTTATACCTTTTTGTACAAAAAAAAAAAAAAAAAGAATTCACAAGTCAACAAGACACTGCCAGCCGTAGGTTTACAGAGTATGAAAATACTTCACAGTTTTATGTAGCTGAATAGCATTCATCTTTGCTGTAATTTCACAAGACAAATTAATAAATATAATAGTGAAATAAATGTCACTTTCCTGACACCAAAAAAAAAAAAAAAAAAGGACTATAAGCTTCATGAAAGCAGGCATTGCAGAGGATCCACATTTTGTATCTTCCCAGCCCTGAACACCAAACCCCATACAGGGCAGGCACCTAAATAAAGCAAATTTACTCAACTGTCAAATCTTCACAACAGCCTTGTAAAGGTAGGCAGTGATAGTGTTACTATTTCCATTTTATAGACAATAAAGTTAAGGTCCACAGAGGAGTCCTTTGTCAAATAGCTAGTGGGACCCAGGTCTTCTAATTACACGCTTGCAGTATTGACTGAGGTAAAGAAATATCTTGTCCCACCCCAGAGGAGCTCACAGCCTGGCTGACATCTCCAAGGCAAAAAACAATAATACTAAGAGTAAACAGTTCATTATAAGTCTAAGAAGGTCAAAAGGTCAAGGTTCTTCTTATGAGCTTCCAATTCCTGTCCTTTTCTAGGATTTCCAATCAATGGAAAAAGTCATCCTCAGGGTTAGAAAAATGGTGGCCTAGTTGGGTTTGGGGTTATATGATCTCCCAGTTGTGGGGCTGGCAGCAGGACCAGAGATGGCCTCATCTCAGGGGCTTGTAGCAGGGGGATTTATGAGCTTCCTGGGTCGACCCATCAGTCAGGAAAAGGCTTTAGGAGGAGTAGCCAGAAGCAAGGGATGATGATACTGGAGGGCTACTAAGCCTAGGCCTCAGATCTCTGACTAGGAGTCCACCTGAAGTGTCAGGGCACTGGGAGAGAAAATGTAGAGGCAAATCACCCCAAGAAACTTGATGACTATAATTATTAGTCAAAGAGAAAGAGACCCAGTAGTGGAAAGAGGCCTAAACTTAGAAAGGAAAGAGGCCTGTGTTGGTGTCCTTACTCTTCCTTTATCTCTGTGTGACTGTGGGTAACAATCACTTCAGATTAAGAGATCATGGACTGAGATCTCAGAAGGATTTAAAACATCTCAAGCTACTGTAACCCCCTCATTTTGCTTCCTCGAGATCTGGTTGCCTGGCTGTAAATAAAAGGTAATAATAGTTGTCCTGTCTGGCACTCCCATTCTGCTGTGTGAACCAACATGAGATAACCGGCAGAAAAGGACTTTGTCATCGTAACGTAGCATACCTACACACGTGCAGGATGACGACGATGACAAGGATGATGAAGCCTAAAGTTCCTAGTGACCCACGAAGGGTCAGGGAGGATTCCAAAGGCCAGCCCAAACTCCCTGGCACATGGACAGCTGGAGAGATAGGGGACCATCTGTAACTTACAACAATCTACCAGGCTGTAGTCACAAATCCTAGTTTACAGGCACAGACACAGAAGCTTGGGGCAAAGAAGTGACTTTTCCAAGATCAATGTTGGCAGAATCATAGAAGCAGAAGAGCTGAGCCCAGGGAGAGGAAGCAGGCCTGTTAGGAGAACCAAGACTCTGCCTATGGGCAATGGAATGGGGAAAACAACATGTAAGAGGGAGGTGAAAGAGGAGGGGATGAGGTGAGACGGAGTTACCCCCACATGGGGCAATGATGGTGAAGTCCGGAGAAAGAAGGATGACTGATCCAGGCTCTTTCTCAAAATGATGGTTGCAGGAGGAACTCAACCATGGGAGAAGGGAGCCACAGGGCCAACGGGGAGAAGCAGCTAAAGTAGGTGGCCAAGTCCAGAGAGTCCGAGGTGAAGTCTCATTGTGGAATAACATTATAACTTTGGCAGGTGTCTGGTTTTTCTGTGTGGTTTTCCGTGTATGCTTGTGTAGTCTCTGTATGAGCTTCCAATTCCTGTCCTTTTCTAGGATTTCCAATCAATGGAAAGAGTCATCCTCAGGGTTAGAAAAATGGTGGCCTAGTTGGGTTTGGGGTTATATGATCTCCCAGTTGTGGGGCTGGCAGCAGGACCAGAGATGGCCTCATCTCAGGGGCTTGTAGCAGGGGGATTTATGAGCTTCCTGGGTCGACCCATCAGTCAGGAAAAGGCTTTAGGAGGAGTAGCCAGAAGCAAGGGATGATGATACTGGAGGGCTACTAAGCCTAGGCATCAGATCTCTGACTAGGAGTCCACCTGAAGTGTCAGGGCACTGGGAGAGAAAATGTATTCCGTGTATGCTTGTGGGTCTCTGGGAAAGTTAGGCACGCTGGGCTATGCTTCAAACTGCCCGAGGTCTTTGGCTGAGAGAACAAGGGGCAGGGCTGGGCAGGGCTGTCTGAGTCACAGGAGCAGCAGGAGCTGAATCTCTGAAAAGCCTTTTCCTCTTCTCTCAGATTGGTCTGAGACCCTCGCAGTCCAACATCTACTGTTAAAACTGGGCCTGAAATAGGGTCTTCTGATTCCCAAACTAGTATACTTTCCACTGCACTCTGAGAAATGGAAATAAGACAATGACCACAGTAATATAACGGAAAACAATCCTGAAAAAACATCAGAGCTCTGATCATTACAGTGATCAATAATGACTTCAGAGGACTAAAGGTAAAGCATTCTGTTAGCAGAGAGGTGGTGGACCACAGGTGCAGAAAGAGGCATACATTTTCAAATACGACCAATGTGCTGATTTGTTTTGCCATGTTGTGACAAAAAATATTCCTTCATTCTGTAGAGGGAAAGGGTGACTAAGAATATAAAAACATAAAAAAAGCATCAATAAAAAATGTTTTTAGGGAGAGAGAAATAAGAGTAAGTGAACGCTCTAAAAATCTGACAGATTATAAAAGTGGCTCAGTTAAAGACACAGGATCATTTTAAAGTTACCTTCACAGCGAAATGCAAGGGAGTCTAGTGGCTTTCTGCAGACAATGCAGAACTTCTTCTTGTAGTGTCCAGGGGGACCAAAACAGTGCGCGACAGGAACCTGCCAAGGGAGGGACACAAGCATCCATCAGTAAGTGACATCTTCCTGCTATGGACAGGAGTCACAAGACCAAAAGTTTGAGCAAGACTTCTCCTTATCCCAAGCGTCCTAAGAATAACAGCAACAATAATTATTGATATCTGCATGTAATTTTAAAGTTTGTGAATTTTTTTTTTTTTGCTTTTTGGTGAGGCGATTGGGGTTAAGTGACTTGCCCAGGGTCACACAGCTAGTAAGTGTTAAGTGTCTGAGGTCAGATTTGAACTCAGGTCCTCCTCACTCCAAGGCCAGAGCTCTATTCACTGTACCACCTAGCTGCCCCATGGAATGTTTTTTTTAATGCAGTTTTTTTTTTCCTTACCAAAAACCCCGTAAAGGAGATGCTACACATATCCTCATCCCTGTCACTCAATTCCAGGGATCTCCTGGCTCCACATCCAGTGGGACGTCTACTGGTCTACACTGCCTCTCATCAGGGTAGAAAATATCTGAATCAGCATTACCTTAGAGTTTTAAGGTTTATAAAATGCACTCCCAACAACAACCTTGGGAAGTGGGTGTCACAACTGTAACTAACCATCCCAAAGGTGTAGCCAGAATAGCTGATTTAAACAAAGAGCCCCCTTTTGGCAGTACAGCACCAGAGAAACTGAAGAGCACTTTCAATACCCACCCGTTCCTGGCACCCTTGGCAGAGGAAGGCTAAAGGAAGAAGAGTCCCTCTTGTCAGCCATATTCTAAATATGAGGAAAAAGAGGCTAAATGAGTCAACCAAAGAGAATTCAGCAAAGATTTCTTATACACCTACTATGTGCTCGGCACTCAGATAAAAAGGCACAGATTAAACAGCCCTTGCCTTCGAAGACCTTATGTTCCATGGCAACGGTCCCCAACTATTTTTGTTCCTTGAACCTCTTTCAACAACAACAAAATTGTGTTGCAAATCTTCAGGGTAATTTAACATACTACTCTTAATATTCTTTCAGATGTATTCATTAAGTGTGTATAATAACTTTTGCTCCAAAAATCTCCAAATTAAGACGTACATTATAATTGTAATTATAACTGTAGAAAAACACACATGCCTATTGTCACAGATAAAATATATTTGCAATATAATTGGGTAATTATTTATTGCATAAGGGGCCATTAAAGAACTGCTAAGGGCAGCTAGGTGGTGCAGTAGGTAGAGCTCTAGCCTTGGAGTCAGGAGGACCTGAGTTCAAATCTGACCTCAGACACTTGACACTTACTAGCTATGTGACCCTGGGCAAGTCACTTAACCCCAACTGCCTCACCAAAAAAAATAAAATAAATAAATAAAGAACTGCTAGCATGAGACCCTTGGACCATCATGAACCACTAAATGGTAACCATTGTTCTATTGGGCAGAGACAACCTGAACACCTCTAAACACAAGGTAATTTGAGGAGAAGGAACTAACAACTGGAAAATCAAGTTCATGGAGGAACCAAGGAAAACCTAACCAGAGCCTTGAAGAAGGATAAATGGAGATGAGGAAGGAATACATTGCAAACATGGGGAGCAGCTTACACAAATACATGGGGGAAGGAGATGGAAAGCCAAGTTCAGGGAACACCTAGTCATCCATTTGGTCTGGAACATAAAATGTGTAAAGGTGAGTAATGCACAGAGTGTATAGAAAGTTAGGTTGGAGCCAGATTTTGGAGAGCTTTAAATCCTAGACTTTAAATTTGAGTTTATCTTTTATCCTAGCGGTAACAGGGAAGCTTTCTGAGCAGGGGAGTGATAGGGTCCGGCCTATGCATTATGGACATTATTTTGGCAGTTGTGTGGAAGATGGACCACAGAGGGGGAAAAACTGAGAGCTGAGAGACAAATTAGGTGGCTATTGCAGCAACCCAAGCAAGAACTCATAAGAGGCTGAAATAGGATGCCGGTTGTAAAAGTGGAGAGAAGGGGAAAGTATCAGGAGGTAGAAGCCAAGACGGAGCAACTAACTGCAGAGACAAGGGTTGGGGGGAGGCAAGAGCATGGATTCAGAGCTGGAAAGAACCTCACGGACCACTAGGTCCAATTCCCTCATTCTATGGCTGGGGAAACGGAGACTCAGAGAGACTGAATGTCTTGCCCGGGGTCACGCGCTAGAAAGTGTCTTGGGTGAGGCAGGATTTGAACTCAAGTCTTTCTGGCTCTAAGGCTCAATGCCTGATCCACTGCACCATCTAAGTGTCCCTTGTGAAAAAGGTCTCCCTCCACAGTGACTGGGAGGATAACTGTGCATCATCAAAAGAAATGAGAAGGTTCAATAGAAGGGCAGGTGTAAGAAAGGAAAAGAATGAGTTATTTTAGACACATTGATTTCAAGATGCTGATTGAACATCCGGGGGCAGGTCCAATAGGCAGCTGGAGGTATGGGATTGGAATTTAGGAGAGAAGATCATGGGACCTCTGAGAGTATCTATTTCAATCCCCATCTGAATCTCAATCCCTCTGCAACACCTGAAAAGTAGCCAGCCAGCTTCTCCCTGGACCCCTCAGGCAATGGGAAGGTCACTAAAGCTTTCAAGTGGTCCACTCCATTTGGTGGGACTAGATTTCAGGAGAAACACTAGGGCTCCATAGATAGATTTGGGAGTTATCTCTATGGAGAAAGATGAAGAAATGTTTCCCTCCCTTAGATGGAGGTAGGAGGACAACAAGGAGAGAGCTGTGTCATGAATTCAAGGGAGAAGAAAATAATCAAGGAGCAGCTGGTCAACAGTATCAAAAGCTACAGAGTTCAAAGAGAATACTGACTATGAAAAGACAACTGGATTTAGCCAAGAAAGGGATCATTGGTGATCTCGGAGAGAGCAGCTTCAGGTGAATGGTGGGGCTGCAGCCAAATTACAAAGGGTTGACAAATAAGTGGGAAATAATGAGTGAAAGTAAGGAATATAGAAAATCTTTTCTTCCCTTTCTAGCCTTATTACACCTCCCACGCTCTATGGTCCAGCCAAATTCGAATTCTTAAGGTCACAAGTCATCTATCTCAATTTGAATTCTTGAAGTCACAAGCCACTTAATTTGCACTGGTTGTCCTTAACATCTGAAAAGGTCTCCTTCCTCACTTCAGCATCTTGGAATCTCTAGTTTCCAAAAAGACTCAGTTCAAAATTCACCTTCTACAAAAGGCTCCCCCCACCCCCATCCCTTCCTACTAGTAGCTAGCACCTTCCTCCCAGAAGGTTATGTTGTATCTACTTTATAAGTGTTTGTATAGAACTATAGATGTGAACGGTATTGCACTCATTAGAATCTACGCTCCTTGAGGGCAGGTACTGTTTCACTTTTGTCTTTGTAACCCAGGGCTTAGAACAGTGGACATATACTAGGTGCTGAATTTACTGGTTGATTCTCTAAGATTTTGCCTATGAAAGGGTAAAAGAAAAATAGGGCAATATACTGAAGGGATGAAAGGGCTAAGTGAAATGTTTTGTTTTGTTTTTAGGTTGGAGAGACTGGGGCATGGTTTGAGGTAGAGAAAGAGACTATAAGCCAAGGCATTAAAATTCCTTCAGAAAGAAGTGTGACTCAGATACTGGCCCTAAAAAGAGAATCATGAGCATGTTCTTTGCTCCCCACTGCCACTTCCAGATTTTCCCTCTGCCAGTCACTCTAAACCTCTCTGCTTTGAGGTTTTCTCCATCTCTAAGATTAAAATTTACATTCCTTTTGGGCAGAGCACCAAACTTTCTCTCCCTCTCTCTCTCAAAGACCTGCCTTAACCCCAAATCACTCAGGCTCTGGTGGACTGGCCAACAATAGGTCCCAAGCCAAGCCCTACTTGATCATAGTTTGGGCCCCATTGGCTCAGAATGAATGTAAATAGCAATTGTCTTAGTTTTGGCCAGAAACCCTGAGGGTCTTTTCTTTTTTTTTATAAGAGGCCATTCTCTGTCTCATCTTTTATTAACCTTAAACAGTGAATGGGCATTTCCTCAGTCAAAGAGACTGTTAAAGACCTTAGCTTGAAAAGGCCAAGGTCTCCCACTGCATCTGGGGCCATCTCCAGTGGTCCTGATCTATATCTTGCCACAGGACTCAGATGGCTCTGGAGAAGAGAGCGAGGCTGGTGACTTCGCACAGCCCTCCCTCACTTAACTCCAATTCACTTGCATGTCATGGCATCACCTCCCTGATGTCATGGTCCTCTTCCAGAATGAAGGACAAATAGCAGCAATCTATCTCTATCACCCTGCCCTGATTATTATTGCTATAGTGGGCCAATGTCCAGGTCATTCACTCTTCCCTCTCAAGGAGTTTAATATTTAGTTTATCTTTCTCTCTACTTCAAACCCTGACTTCATTACATATGAAAATGTTCCCTCAAACTGTCTGGTTTTTTCAACTCCCACCACATGTATCTTCTCCGTGCCTCAGCTATCTGCAGCGATGGTCATACCTTACATCCCACCATTACCCCATACCTGTACCAGCTCCATCTTTGGAACTGGGAAATTCCTCACTCTTCAGAATCTCCTATCCTGCCTTCTCTTCTATTGGCCTCACTAACTCATCTTTTCTTCGTCTTCTCTAGACTCTAAGGAACAAGTGGCCCCTCCCCCCGGCCAAGGCCAGCTCTTCCACTTGTGCATGTCCTTCATGCCACTTCTTTTTTTGGGGGGGGAGGGGGCTTCATGTCATTTCTAATGAACTTATCTTCCCCTCTCTGCCTCTCTTATCTTCAGTATCTCCCTCCCTACTGACTCTTCCTTTACTGTCTACAAACATGGGGAAGTATCCCCTATCCTTAAAAATAAACAAACAAACAAACAAAAAAACACCCTTCCCCTTAATCCACTCTGCTTTCAAAGGATCACCCTAGAGCCAAGCATTAAACTCCTGAAAAAGGCAAGATGAGTAGCCTAGACTTATTATGGCTGATTATGGCAATAAAGATCTGGACAGATCTTAAACCTGGACAAGTTCAAAGAGATGGATGGAAAACAACTTTAAAGGAGGGGAGGTTAGTGAGTGATTCTGGCCAAAGAACTGATTGAACGTGAGAAGGGAGATGCTGACAATGACTGCTAGGACAATATGTTGGGGGCCATATGGAACAACGAGTCCTGACAACGATGGTCAAGACTACAGTATCTTCTAAGAGATCCATTGCCAAGTGCAAGAAGGTGGAAAAAAGGGGTGACTAGGTGGTGCAGTGGATAGAGCACTGGCCTGGGGGGTCAGGAGGACCTGAGTTCAAATCTGGCCTCAGACATTTGACACTTACTAGCTGTGTGATCCTGGGCAAGTCACTTAACCCCAGTTGCCTTGCAAAAAAAAAAAAAGAAGAAGAAGGTGGAAAGAACGTGGAAACGAAAACATGTAGGATGAAAGGAAGTTTGTTAACAATAGAGTGGGGTTCCACAGGGCACAAGGTCAGGGAAGGGCAGATGAAGAAAAGTCTTGGGGAGTAACAGGATAATTTAGCTGGAAAGGGATGAAAAGTATCAGAAAGATACTTTTGCCTTAACAGACAGGGTCCCTGAATCACAGAGATTAGGAGTTCAAAAAGTACAAATTTGTAAGCCACAAGACTGAGGAAGCTCTCTGGGGCCTCCACCCCATAGGGTCCTGCAATAATGGAGGTCAATATTGCTACAGGAGTTCCCTCTGTCTCTCTTGTCCCCCTATTTTGCCCAGGCTGGAACGGCATGGACTACTCATGGACGCAATCCCAGTCTAAGAGACATGACATACTTATTCTAATTCTCACCCTCCTTGACCCCACTCCAGAAGACTCACCACACTGATGCCAAATTTAGCACAGACACCAGCTCAGCATAGCCCTCTGCAGCTTAAAACTCCCAAGCTCAAGGGCTCCACTAGCCTCAACCGACATGGTGGCAGGGAATACACAGCTGTGTGCCACCATGCCCAGCGGTATTGAGAAGTAGGGATGGCATAGGTCTAGCTTCCCAGAGAGCAGACTGAGCCCA